ACCATTGCCTATTTTGTAGGGTATGGGTTTTCTATTACACGCTAATACGCTAACACACACCCGTCATGTGCTCATGCATTGACTTATGTTCATCTTTAAGAGTTCAACTTAATCACGGTATGATTGAATGATTTAAAGAGAATAGTTGTTAGCATATTAAAGCATATAGCATGAAGCGTACACCTCCACTGTGTAACATAAGAAATGTTACCAGTATTTTGTGTTTTGAAACTCGAACCGAACAACGATTCAGTACAGTTCAGGGATCAGCGTCAATGGGTTCGTTCGGTGTCAAAATTTGGATGATGTCAGTATGATGTGATTAATATAATTTAATTAAAAATTAAAATATTATGTAAAATGTCCAACAGTAGGTTAACATCAAGTAAGGTATACTAGTACATGCTTGATGTTTCAAAGTTATTTAATAAGAAAATACAAATAGCATTAGAATAATCAACTAGTATTTCATATGATTTCATGTCTATTCCATAGTTTAGAATTAATTTTGGAGATTTATTTGAAACACAGCACTAAAATTTAGGACTATCGATAAACTGTGAAATATTTCTATGTGTGTCAACAGTTTTGAGATACTCTGGGGGTCGAAATATAAAATTGTTAAAACTTTGAACCCAAATTAAAATTTCCTCGTATTTCTCCTTTGACGCTAGGGCACTCACGTTGCGTTCTCTGACTCTCTTCTATTCTCCTCCTGCTTCTACCTTTCCTTCCTCCGCAACTTTTTCTTCCTACTCTTTCTTCTTCCCCTTTTTTTTTTATCCCGTTTTCTGTTCCAGATTTCGTTGTGCTACTCTTTTCTCCTCAAACTCACAAAATATAACATTTTTATCTTATTTTTTTTAAAAAATTGCTCTCTTCTTGATCTCTTTTTTTTTTCTGTTGCTATTTTATTTTATTTTTTTTTACTTTTTCGACACGAGTACGATTAGATCATATTCAATAAATACATTTAAGATCATATATGATGGGATAGAGATGGCTAGTCAAATGAGGAAGATGGCTTGCAGATTTTGAGACGGCTGGTCAAAGGAGGAACATGGGTTTGAAGGTTAGAGTAAAAAGAAAGCCAAAAAAAAAATAGAGAGAGTAAGCAGAATAGGGAAATGAAAGAACTCCAGTTCTTGTTACCCTATCTTATACGTTGTCTACGTCCCCCCATGCATATACACAAGGAATTAAGCATTCCTAGAACGATGCAGAAGTATATTAACTTGCTTAATGACAAATTAAAACGATGCTATTTGCAAAAGTATAGTATTAACTTGCAAAATTTGAGGTAATTGTTGGGTTTTGATTCAAGGTCATCGATCGGTTAAACATTTGCCCCTTAAATTCTTGATTTTTTTTTTTTAAATGTCGCCACAGGTCACTAATTTGGCCATTAACTAATTATCTGGATGATCGTAAAAGTGCATGTTGTGACCTCAAATACCCTTGAAAGTATATTAAACTTCACCGAGCTACGTATTTTATACATTATTCACCCAAGTTTTCCGTTAATGTAATGTTTGAAAAGCTGATCGAGGGTTATTTCCTCATGTTCTGAAATAATAGTAGTGTATGTATGTAACCAATTTTTTTCCCCACCTTAACCTACACTTCACATAATACCATAATCTCATTGAGAAATATTTTCATCAAAATGAGCTTTACCACTGAATTTTTAATGATTTGACGGAATATGTGGCATGGCATGTAAAGATGATGTGCTTGGCTCTTAAGACTCACCTTATGTGATAAAAACATTAGTTACGTGACCGTGAAATCTTAACTCTTTTTCTTTTTCTTTGCAAGACATGAAGTCTTACTTTAGAAAAAATATATATGTATAAATTGATGTGTACGAGAAGAGGTCTCTGGATGCAGACTTGGTATAAGTACACCCTTCGTCCTACTTCTAGATACATCACAATCCAACCAAACTACTCATTTTACGTATGTCATTTTCTTATTGATATTGATAAATCAGATACCAAGCTTCTGGACTGCCAAATTTTAAGGTCCTTCTTACAAGGATATTATCTTCCCTAATTTATAAGATGAATAAATAAAATTTGAGCAACAAATGATGTAAAAATCATCAACTGGCATACATGACAGAGGTTGTACATGTGATGCTGAAGTAATTAGTGCAGCTGATTGCCTTGCTAGTGCCTCTTAGTCATGGTAAAACCTTGCAAAATAAGTCTATCGTTGTCCTTGTCAAAGCTCTAGAGGAACCTGGAGTTTTTTTTTTTTTTTTTTTTTTCCAAATAATTTCGAAGCCTACTACAGTTGATTCTGTATAATCTTCCTACAGAGTAGATCCATGTACAGTGAATATAAAAAGAAGAAAATTGCTGAACAAGGAAAAATATCAATACAACTTAGAATTGGAAAAAGTAGATGGAATGATGTATTGAAACACAAATTAATCTCATTTCAGGTGAGGGTAATTTATTTGGATTAATTTTCTGTACACTGATAGTGTGTATATTTATATGCGTGTCAATACTTTAAGTGGCCCTTATCAAATTATAAAAGTAGTAAGGAAAGTTGATTCTCAGACTGAACCCACTCGTCACCTCAGGTGAAAGTGACCCTTTGCACATTCTTGATGCAAAAGTTATGACAATATCAACATTCTACCCCCGTACCCCCCACTGTACATTAAGAAAAAGAAAAGAAATTTCAGAAGTACTCAAGCCGAAATGCTAGCTTGACTCATAATGTTAGGACAAGTTTGAAACAATTTAAAATAGTCACAAGATTTCATCAAAGAATTCAGAAACGAAGGAAAAGTCTCATGATAGAATTCTTATTTTTTTTTTCCTTAAGAAGTAATGGCAGGGTAGGTGGATCTGAATCTCAAATATCTAATTCTTTAGATCTCAATTTTAACCACTACGTTAAGATTTTTTTGGCCTCATGATAGAATTTAATTCAGTAATTAATTAAACTAGTGTGATACAAAATAAAAACCCTCATAAGATGAAAGAAAGAAGAACCCGGCAAAAACAATTCTATGGAGAAAAATTATTATTAACAAAAATAAGAAAATTTTTTGGACAGATGGTTGGAATATTTATTTCTTAATTAAGCAGCAAGCAAAATGAAAAGACCGGAGCTCCTTGCTTTACTTGGATTTTGCATAGTCTAGGCCAGGATAACATAAAATATATTTATTTAACAACCGTGTTTGAAGGATTAAAAGTTCCTCGTTCCTCTGATCGGAGTACTCCAGTCATCCTATTCAAACTCTCTTACTCTTTTTCGCACAATTGTCAAAACAAATACCAGGTATTTGCTCAAAGTCTATTTTGGATTAGTATACATTTCAGCAATTTGGAAATATCTTACATATGATTAATCAGAATGTGGTTTAATAAGAGCTTCAAAATCTATAAATACTAGCCTAGCTTACCCAAGAATCTTCATTACAAATTTACCACATTAAATTACAGCAAAATCCCAAAAGCCACACAAAACCATCAAACTTTACACATTTTCAGCTTTCTTCTTCTTGGGGCCATGCAACGTACAGCATCTTCAGCCAAGAAAACTGGCCAACTGCTTTTCAGATACCGAAATCAAATATTAACACCTAAACAGCAGCAAAAACCATGCGATGTGTTCATCAATCACCGAGGAATCGATACGAAGAAAAATGTTGCAGGATTGCTCTACGATCATCTCAAAAGACTAGGGGTAAGCCCCTTTTTGGACAGCAAGAACATGAAACCAGGCGACAAATTGTTCGAAAAAATTGACGTGGGAATTCACCAATGCAAGGTTGGAGTGGCCGTGTTTTCACCAAATTATTGCAAATCCCACTTTTGCCTGCACGAATTGGCTCTAATGATGGAGCTACAAAAGAAGGTTGTACCAATTTTTTGCAACGTAAAACCTTCTGAACTCCATGTTATGGACAGCCGTACCTGTACATCGGAGAATTTGGAGCGGTTTAGCCGGGCTCTGGAGGAGGCGAAATACACGGTTGGACTCACATTTGATACGTCAACAGGGTGAGCATTCACGTTATTTGGAATATTACATGCATGCGCTAGAATGTTCACACTACACAGTACACACACCAGAAAAAAAAAATACAGACACACACACCTATCTACGTATTTCTTCTCACACACAGACGTACCACAATAAAAAAAACAAAAAAAAAACACACACACACACACACCCACTGCGGTACAACACTTAAAACAACACACAGATGTCTATGTATGTCTGTATATATACGTATTTCTTCACACACACATATGTATATATGTATGTATGTATGTCATGACTATATGGAGAAACAAATCTGATGTACTTTCGCTCTTAATTTCTGAATAGGGATTGGTCAGAATTCCTAACAAGTGCCTCAGATGCGGTAATGAAGAATTTGGTGGAGGTTGAAGGAGACCGGACGTATTGGAGGAGACACAAGTTTTCTTCTTCGTAAGGTTTAGGCACAAAGACCAGGGTGGAGCAATTTATACGCACAATCTTCAACTAGACTTCATTTAATTCATTTATTGATTCCTTTTTCTTTTTCTCCGATTACTTTGTTCCATTAATCAAGTCCTTAAAAGCTCTGGGAGACTACATTTTAGCTCTCTACTAGATTTTGCACAGTCTTACCCTTCATCTGAAGTCAAAATTCATAATGCTAGTCAGCCAAAGGGTTGTAGCTAATTAGCTTTAATATCTCGACAACAATGTAAATGTGTCTGCAGATATTTGTAAAAACTGTGTCCATTGTAACTCTTACACATTCATTTTTCTTCTCCTAATAAATGACTGATCTCAGTAGTTAAAGACTCTCTTGCACTTTTTTTTTTTTTGTCTAAGCGCAACTCTCTTGCACTTCTGTTTGAAGCGCCAGCTATCCCCTCAAATACTTTATGCAACTATTAAGGAACAGCCAGACTTGTCTGATTGTCTCTGGACTCTGATGGTAATAAAACTATGAGAGAACTACACAAATGTTGACAATGGGTGATCTCCCTCAGAGGGAAGAGTAGTTAAACACCGTGAAAAAAACAAAGAAATCCAGGTTTTTGTGAAATTTGATACTATGACAAGTTATTCCGCTAACTAGGTTGTAATTTTTCCCCTCAAAGCAGTTGAGGAACTTGGAGAAAGAGCCCTGATACTCTTCCCATCAAAAGGCATTTCAGTTATATCGTGTCAAGCAATCCTCTTCGCACTCAACTGATAATCAATCATTTTCGATCCATATCTTTGATCATTGGATTCTTGCTAATGTTTCTCCATCTGTTCTGCATTTCTATGGTTAATGAGATATAATGCTGCAAAATAAACAAATAACATAAGCATCAATGCATTGCTAATAGCTTTATATGCTTATCGGAGATGCCAATTACCGGGAAAAAGCTGCCTAAGCTGATTAATCAACACTTATAGTACAGCCAGTTCTAGTTGGCATAGATTTCTTATAAAATGAGTGCCATCAAATAAGCGTGTGTTTCTTTTTCCATAGTATGCCTTGGATTTCCTTTGATGTCACCTAATCTTTTTCACACATGATTTCTAACAGCATTGAGACAATGGCTGTCCTGATCACAGTCGCAACCACGAAAGTTGTCTTACTTCATACATTAATTTCGTAGAAAGAAGAAACTGAAAATATAACCGATCTGTCTTGGTAATTCCTATAACGCGTAGCACTTAGCAGTGATCATTGCTTGCTGGCAAGTTTCATTTCCATTTCCTCTCCATGAAGAAAATGATAGAATCTGCGCATTAATGGTTAATATGATTCTATGCTTTCTGGTCCTATCCATTGTTATTCTTGCTCTGAGATCTTGCTGTAAAATATTAGGAGAGGAATGTCTGGCATGGGAGCTACATTATTATTTGAACTATGTTTTGTTTTTTTTTTTGCCAGGATTTATTTTTCAACTCTTAGAAGGCGTCAAGTTATCCTTGACGGTATTTCAGGTACAGCAGTGAATTGCAATATCATGCAAGAATCAACTAAATACACCAATTTTTGAAGAATCAACAATTTGACCATCGAGGTAAACCTAAGACATACATTTCCCTGAGAAAAATAAAACCAACAAAAGTTCGCTTTATCTCCACACTTCTGACAAATCAAAGAACCACACTTGAAAGAATCTGGTGCTAACGTTAGAATTTCGAGCTGATGGCTTCCAGATTGTGGATGGAAAATACAGTCTCGAGCTCTTTCAACGCAGAATTTTCGGGGCACATATCTTACAGCATTTGTGTGCAAACTGCCAAACTAGGCAGCTGTAGTTGTACTTGTACACTTGTTATCGTTTGGTTCGTTCCATGAACTAGAATACCACATTTCGCAATTTGTCACTTTTTAGCCTCCTTTAGGTAGAGGCTGTCCAAGATTGTTGTGGAAGAAGCTAATGGATTCTAGTTCACGAGTTTTAGACTCCCGCACTCATTATGTTACATTTCTTTTTTTTTTTTAATTTTAATATCACTTTTTAGCCTCCTTTAGGTAAAGGCTGTCCAAGATTCTTGTGGAAGAGGCTAATGGATTCTAGTTCTGAATTTGGTTCTGTTGCATGATGGAGCTGACCTTTCTCATAAGAAACCAAGCTAAATAGGCAAGAAAAGTATAATCAAGACTGTTTTGTTTTATAATGGTTGGAATGGAATGTCTTTGACCAAGAAAATTATTTCAACTCTCTATTGTTGGAAGACCGTGGACCGTTAGTCCAATCCAAAAAGCTATCATTCATCTGAGTTTCTCTTGATGCAGCTGCCTTGTGACGAAAGTGCCCATTTCACTGTTGTTTGACCTTTTTCTCTTCAAAACCGCCATTTTTACTTTTCTCTTCTAAGGTCAATTATTTCGAAAATTAGATACTTATTTCAGAAAGAGAAGGATTGAGCACGATACTTTTCCTAAGCGGGAAAAAAATACAAGTCTCAACTCTCAAGTCTCAAGCCCTACTTTTTTTAACGCCCAATTCAGAAACTGGTTTTAGTAAGCCCGTGAGCTACCCATGGTATTATATTTGAACACGCCGTATGTCCTTTCACATTGTGTCTTGTACGAAACTAGAATTTGTATTTGAACAATTCTTTCAAGCCCTTATTTTAACTTTGAAATAATTTCAGGTCCGTTTGGATGGTAGATTATTTGAGAAATATTATCTTAAATAATGAAGTAATATTGTAGAACTTTTGTGATATAATGCATGTATGTATGATAGAAAGGTAATTGAAAATTGTATTTATGATACAAGTAAAACAAAATTTGCATACTTTTTTTGTGCAAATCTTGATAACCAAACAGATCTCCGAGTTGCATGACAAGTGCATTTACATCCCCTTACGAACAAACAAGTGGTTTCACAAAGGGGGTTTTCTCAATTAATTAAAATGTGACTCAGTCACTACTACGTATACAAAATTTATGATTTTTTTCTCCCATTTTTTGCCATATATACTAATATTATAATTTTCCTTTATCTTCTCGATCAGTACTTGGTAGATGAACAATTCCTTTCAAAAAAGGCAGAACGAGAAAGAGACATTTCTTTTCAACCAAAAACAGGACAATTCCTTTCACATGTGACGTACACAGGCACAAATTTCTTGTTTGAACCATTTTTAGCCCTCGACAATACATTCCCAGCGCTTTCCTTCTTTTCGGTTTATCCTATCCAAAACATAGCGGATATGGACAGAAAAGCGACATTGAGACCTCAACCAATCTATGCTCCAGCCGGGTTTTGAAGGAGTGAAAAAAAAAAAGAAAAATCAACAGATAAACTCAAAAGAATCTAACTTTGCAATTGATAGCAACAGTAAATAGACATTTATCTAAATAATAATAATAATCGATTACCTGTCTGGGGCATGTCTAATACCAGCTCATCCCAATGCTTGAAACCTGTCATTTTTTTAATCCAAAGAGTTTCACAACAGGGTGCTTTACCTTTTTCAATTGATGCTGTAGGAGATATTTGAAGGAGTTTTCTTGGAAAGTAGCATCTCTAACAGACGGGATCCTATTGCTCGAAAACCGTCAGGCAAATCCCTGATTATGAGGAACTTGCTGTTCTTGCAGCTGAGACACTTTGTGAGCATGCACCTCTTTACTAAATTCCTCCTCCTTTGCATAGCATATGGTAGCCATTTATCCCCTTATATTTCTAGCAGGGAACCTTGCATGCATTAATCTTGAACTGCATTTGTAGAAACATGCATGATGACGTTCATTTTTATTTCTAGCTTTACTTAGTTGACATATTTGGACTGCTCCATTCGTTTCAAATTGGATAAGTCATGTAATCTTGCATTCATCTCAAAAAATTACCTCATATTTCATATGTATATCAAAGAATTCTTAGCATTTACTTTCCTAGAATATACAAATATGAAAAAAAAAAAAGATTTGTACTCCCATTAGTTATCAACTATCTCTTTAGTACTCACATGGAAATTACATCAAATTCAGTGGGCAACAAGTGTTTTCTTTCCTTTTCTTTTCTTTTTTTTTTGAAATATTGTAAATGATGAGGCCTATACCTGCGCTTTAAATTTTAACCTAATCCCTCGTTAACTGCAAGTGCACGGGTCGTGAATCGTAGTATATAAGAAAATTAGGATCGATCCCACAGGGAAATCAACTATGAATTACTAAGGCTTTTGGCTCCCTTTATTATCTAAACTTTCCAACAATTTCAACTAGACTAATCAACTAAATGCTAAAGTAGTACAATGCAAGTTAATAACTCGAAGTAATTCAACTAAACATTAATGTTTTAGGGTATAGAATCCACCAAATGTACCTAAACATGAATAAATTAGCTAAATATCACTAATACTCTTGTCTTGTTAAGGATGCATTCCTCTCAAACCATCGGAACTTGCTTTCACCAATGAACCGAACTTAGTCTACACAAGCATTTCCCAACTTTCGTGGTGAAATCTTAGGCATAAACCAGCTTCTAGCACAAGAAATGTGATAAACATCCATCTAAGTGCACCACTACTTTCGTGTGTCCACTCCTTAGGTTTCATTCATTCATTTTTCATTATTGTCAACTATTTTCATAGACTAATAACAATTAAAATGGCTTGTAAATGATGATCAAGCATTCACAAGTATTAAATCATGAATAAATGAACTAGCAAGTACAAGATGTAGCAATAATCACTTCATTCATCCATATTCAAGTCACAAGTAGTTTCATCTATCTCTAGAACAAGAAAATTTAGCTAGACATGGTAGATTTAGCACCAAAACTCTTATCTTTAATGTAACAAAGCATTAGTAAGACAAATAAGAGAGTAAAGATGAAGAAATGCTCATTCAAATGGAGAACTATGATCTTCAAGCTCCATCATCCTCATTTCCATCAATAATCCTTTAGTACATCAAGAGTTCTTCAAGTTTTTCAATAGAAAGAAAAACTAGATCTACCACTATATCTAAGTTAAGCTAGAGACAAGAAAAAGAATCTCCTTTTTAACTTCCTTTCTCCCTACTTTCAATAATGTCCTCCCCTTCCATTTTAACTTGTCTCTTCACTTTATATTCCAAAAATGCCCTTAATTGGAATCTCCAATATTACTTCTTCAAATGTACAAAGTGCATTTTACAGCTTCCAGCCGGAAATTGTTGTGAAACATGAGTCAAAAGGTAAGTGTGAAATGCACACAAGTTGTTCTGCAAATTGTAGAGGAAAGAGAAAGATCCGAGACCTAGGATCCGAGGGCTAAAAAACTTATCCGAGCTCGGATCATCTTTTCCATTCTTTCACGTCTCTTGCAGAAGAAGATCCGAGACCTAATTCCTAATGGATCCGAGCTCGGATCCTGTGCTCTAGGATCGGCTTCTGCAGAATAAAAACTGAGGTCTCGGATATGTGGCCTTTGGGAGGGGATCCGAGCTCGGATCCTTTTCCCCTGCTTGTAGCTTCCATCTTTTTCTTTTTTTCCGCGCAACTCCCTATCTTGCTTCATGTACACGTTAGTCTCCTTGAGTTGCCTTGCACTTTGCTTCAACTAGAGAGATTGTTCCATGCGCTCATTCCCTACAAAATGCCATATGTTCCAAGATACATTTGTACATTTAGTTCACTACAAGAAAAATTATATTTGGAGGCACAACAAAATGATGGAATAGGGAACTTTTAGAGGCACTTAGACTATTGAGGCACACACATGAAATGTCTACTAAACTACCTGTTTGGAACAGGTTGGAGGCACTTTTTAATGCCATGTTTAATGAATTTGATGCACTCACAATTGCCATGAAAGAAATTGCAAACAGGCACAAACCAATGTCTCTAAAGATGCACTATAAAGGCGTTTTACTTGGTATCAGTTTTGTCCTTTTTAGGACACTTGTACATGTTGCCAAAAGGTGTTTGTCTAGGCACAATGAAGTGCATTATATACATTAATGGAGGCAGTTCACAATGCAGTGTTTACCTGTCTTTCAGGGCATTTTCTACCGTTGTTAAAAGGAATCTTCAAACTCTCAAAAAAGTGTCATGATATGTGGTTTTAGTAGATGCATTAGTTTCAATGTAGACATTGGCAAGTGCCTCAATAGCTATCTGTTTTTTTTTTGGTGCAATTTTCATCCAAATTTTGTACTCTAATCTCCTAATACAATACGCCAAACACATAACATGCAAAAGTAAGATAGCCACTATGCCAAAGAATATAAATCTGCTTGAAAGTTTATACCTCTCATAATAAATTTTATGACCATTTCATAAAGTACACAAATCTAAAGTTAATTCAAAAACTAGCTCTAAACAAAAGGCTGCCATCCAACTCTTGCAATAGAATCCAGCAGCATCCTCACAAAAATATTCCACAAATTTGAAGTTAACTCAAAAACTAGCATTGCTTCTCTAAACAAAAGGCTGTTGTCCAACTCTTGCGATAGAATCCAGCATTGTCTTTTCTAAAAGTGCAACTATCAATCCTCATGAATCTTTACCTATACATTAAGTAAGAACACCACTTCATTATCCATCCAACTTACAAAACAGTTTTGTGTCAAAGTATACCAATTTCAGTGGCCAAGCAATCGGTGCACCAAGTGCATCTTCAATTGTCTGCAAGAGCCCATAAGGCCTAATCAATTGTTCGCTGCGTTCCACCACAATTTGTACTAGTATTTCACACCAACATGGTCCTAATGATTGTCCGCCAACAACTTTAGAAGGATCAATTCCTTGGAGGCAACCAATAGCTAGATATTTTGTTGGATCAAGCAAACTGACAATATCCACCCAATCACCTTCCTACAAGATAATTTAAAGTCATAGAATTGAATTAGATAAATTTATTTTAAAAAATTTGATAGAGTTTCCCTTGCATTTTGAACATTTCTCCAATTTTCAGCAATAAAACTTATCAACCACGACCCTACTAAGTTGAAATTGCCATGTTTTAGTATTCAACATAACCAAACAAAATAGCAGTTTAATTAATCAACAAGTTTCAAACAATAAAAGCATCCTCACATGATATAATCACAATAAATTCTTGAAAAGAATCATGAACATACCTGAAGAGAACGAGCACCAATAGGTGATTTTGAAACATGATTAGAGGATGTTGAATTTATCTAGCCACCGGTTTTTGAGCCACTATTTTGCTGCTGACACACCATTGCTTTGAGCTCTGTAAGTTCTTTGGCTTGGTCTTTAAGCTGCTGATCTTGTTCAGCAAATTTTTCTTCCATCTTAGAAATTGCTGCCTTTTGCTCCATAACAATACGCTGACAAGTGCTGCGACTAGGTGCATTACCCCATTTGTCTGATGGTGTCACACCTAGACCATACATGCGCACACGTCCATTCTTATCTTCCCTAAATACTTGGGCGAATGTATCATCACGACCAACATCATCATTAGAACCAGGAGGAAGTTGGCTAACTTTTTCTTTCAAAGCTTGTTGTATTCAAAATCTAGAAAAAGTTTAATATTACTAAAATCGATTATCTTACATCAATCAAGATAAAATCAGTCTTAAGTTAGTAGACAATTTCAGTCATTTAGGGTACTAATTTCATCAACCAATTAGTGACTCACCAATGTAGTTGCAACGTCATCATTTCCCGGGTTTCCATTTGAGTCAGTATAACAGTGTTCGAACATGTCAACTCGTGATGGAAGATGACCTAATTTTTTCATCTATAGAAAACGAGGTCTCCATAAGACCACTAGGTGATACAAGGAAAAACTAAATTAAACTAAAATGTTAAACAGATTTACCAATTTCTTTTGAATTTGAGCATACGATTTCTTCCCTGTCTTATGATTCATTGTTTTCTTGGTCCGACTCATCTTATTCTTCTCGCTGGTATTATGAAATTATAGAAAATAGTAGAAACTTATAATCTCAACATAGTGATTGATATTTAATAGTTAAAACAACTATACCTTTGTTTCCTCTAAGCTCCAATAAGCCAGAAGATTTCTCCACTGATCTTTCAAGATCCGTTGATCCCTATTGTTAATTTGACTCTCAATGGATTCATTTGGATTGTAATATTTTGCCTTTAAAGCTGATTTCCAATTTCTCCATTTTTTGCCAATAGATTTCAAAGTCCAGAAATCTGCACCTGGAGGAAGACGAAATTTTTCCTACAATAACACCTCCAATAGTTAGATACATATTTTTGTCATATAAAAGGTACAGATGTACATTTGTATCAAGAAAAATATGTATTACCTTCACTAGTACAAGCATGTCTTGCTTCTTATCAGTTGTCATTTCACGCCAATCTGTCACGTCTATAGGAGCATACTTTCCATTTCTTGCTATTGTTCCTAAGAACTCAGCAAATTTGGACTTGTTCTTGCCAACAGGCTCACTATCCTTATCAAATCTAACTTTGTATCGATGACAACTACTAGGTTTACCCCATATTTCTGTCATATATGTTGGCCCTCTAGTTTTTCTTTGTGAATTTTCATCTGCATTTTCTTCATCTACAACCATGAAATATGACCCTAGTGAATTTCATTACCAAAAGAACTAGTAGAATTGAAATTTTGAAACTGGATCTCAAGAATGAACTGCAAAACTTAGCGTGACTTATTAGAGAT